CCAAGTGCTGTGATGTGCCCAGTGTGGGTACTCCGGGCAATCCAAGCCAGGACTGTTTTGCAAGCGGGGCACTCCTGAGAACTGTCTGTCCGGGGTGGGGGTCGGGTCCCTTTAAGCACAGCCCTCGGCTAGCCTGAGACAGCAGCTCCACACTCTAAGTCCTCATCTGATGCCCTGCCAGCACTGCTTCCGGCCATCCTTAAGCCCGGTTCAGGGTCCACTCTGTGTGGACATGCTAGTTCGAATTAGCAAAACGCTAATTTGAACTAGTTTTTTAGTCTGGATGAGTTAGTTCGAATTAGCTTAGTTCGAATTAACTAATTCGAACTAAGTTAGTTCGAATTAGCGCTGTAGTGTAGACATACCCAGAGTGTGTGTTGGGGGGAATCATTTCCAAAGATTCTATAATTCTTCCTCTTTGGATGGTCCCAGGGTAATTTATTTTCTGTTGTGTTGCTCTCACACGTCATTTAGAACCAGAGCCCTCAAACTGCATCATCAATTGCACAAGCAGCGGCCTGAGGTTTGTTGTATTTTTTTTAATGTAGCACAACAGAGTGACAGGCTGTGTGAACCAGTCCTTTCATGAATACAGCCTAACAGGAAAATCCTGCCATCCTGCAATATTCATTCACTGGATCATTACTTTATATATTATGTTAATAATTAGGTTCCAGAGCTCTCATATTGCATTCCCACTTGTCCAGCAATCAGTTGAATGACCCGGGTTAGATTTCATGCGTCACAATGGAAACTGAACATGTGGCACAAGGGCTCAATTAGCAATCTTTTCCATTTACAACCTATTGAACTTTTCTAGGCATCAAGCCATGTTCTTTCATAGTCCTCCTCTCTCTCGCACTTTCTATTTTGGAAGTGCCTAATTTTTTATTAAGGGATAACTACATTATTGACCGTAGGGGAGACTTTCTTATATCACAGTAAGCAGTAAAAATAAGAGTCAGATATACAAGGGAAGAGGTAGTATATATAGGTTATAGTAACTATACATACCACCATCATAAAAGTTGCATTAATAATTTGCCTTTGGACAGTTCACATCACTGGTTCATTTTTCCTCAGACACTTTCAATTGTTTGCCCAATGTAGACAGTAAATCGGTGGTGGGCAACCTCTGGCCCAGGGACTGCAGGCGACCCATGAAGGTTCTATGTCTGGCCCAGGAGACATTTTGTTTACACTTGGCCATGTGCAAGGTTGCCAGACTCTGCTGGTTTCTGTCCATGTAGAAGTGACACATATGTAGAACAAGGGCACTTGAAGTCAGGAATGTGCTCATTGCACACAACATTGACCCTCTGCAGCCAATCAAAGCCCTACTGTGGTTCAAATGATGAACAAAACAACTATATGTGAATAATTAAATGGCCTATAGGTGCATTAGTTTTTCCCACCACTTATTTGAAAGACATTATTCAACTTTCTCTAGGGGTGATTGAACAAGAAAAAATATATTTGTGAGTAATGCATTATGTATCAGTTGACAGGAAAAGTTTACTATCAACACTATTAATGAATCTGTCCGTCACATTGTTGATTTGACAGTCAGTGACACCCCTTTCCACTAATCACCAACAAATGTATCATATCTGAGTCTTTGCTCGGGTTAACACCTGTGGCAGCCTGAGAGCAGGGAGCTACCACTATACTATTTGGTGTCTGGGAGGTGGATGGGCGTTGTCAATTTGGTAATAGCCAGGAGGAGGTTGACCAGAAGGTCCTGCAACTTTGTGGGGCCATGGATGGGATATGCATAGATTAACAGGTGAGGGGAAAAGTGCAGCCAGAACCTCAACATGAGGTTCTGGAGGAGCCGAAAAAAGGGGTTGTAATCTGGCGCACTTAAGTTAAACGTGCACCAGGGTCTCCTTCATGCCACAAAAGGGGAAAGTGTCAGCAATGGGGGTGAACTCTGCCAAGTACATGCCCGTGCTCACAGCACCGTGCAGGATTCACCAGCTGATGACCCTGGCGGGCCGTGGAACCAAGGTCAAATATAGACTGGCCCACAGGGGTTCCCCACCCTTTATTGGTTGTAGAAGGTCCCACCACTTGGTGTCTGGGTGGGACGCAAGGTTGGGGAAGTGGAGCGTATGAAACACAAGTGTATATAAGTGACTCTTTGGCATCAAAGGGTTCAAAAGGGGACTGACTGCAACATGTCCAGCTGGCTCAAGTGACGAGGGAAGGCACTTGGGAAGGTACATGGGGCTGAAGGCCAATTAAGAGATCCGGAGGGCTGGGGGTGAGGGGTGGGCAGGGTGCACCCTCTCGCAGGACCTTGTCAAGATAAACCCAAGGAGTGGGCAGCAAAGTGTCCTTCACCTCCTGAAGCATGAGCTGGGGAGTACGTAGGGTGGAGAGCCCGATGCCGTGGGCAAGCACCCGAGAATCCACCCAGTCTCCCCAGTCATAATCCAGGAGGTCTCTGATCCTTGTGACTTCTCCCAGGACCAAACGCTGCCACACGGAGGGGGACTCTGTGGCCTGCACACACAGATGGGGATTGTGTAGCAGGGGCTCCACGAGGAGGTCTGTCCCTATCGTGGCTCCCAAGGACCTGGCTGCTGCAAGCAGCTTCCATGTCCAGAGGAGGTCCTGATAGAAGGCTGGCAGCCCGGAGAGGTCTCATGGAAGACCCCGCAAATAAAAGAGCTGCTAGTCAAATCAGAGCCCTCGGAAGCAGCGAAGGAAAGCCTGCGCAAGTGTGCTCCACACTGGACTACCTGCATCAAATAGGAGTCTCTGCAGGGGGTTTGGCAATACTGAGAGCTGTTAAGACCCTGCCCAACATGACGCAGGG